GCTCGAATATTTCTGTTCATACTTTTATCCGAGCTTGTGAAAATGCAAAAGAATTGGTATCACCAGCCGTAATTTCACCATTAGTTAGATTACTCAAAAATAAACTCAGAGGCGAAGCTACGAAAATGATCGTCTATGAGGAAATAAACAATTTCGAAAGTTTTATTAACGAGCTAGATTTAATGTACTCAGATACCCTCTCAGTTAGAGAATGTGAAGGAGAATTAGTTAAAATATTCCAAGAGGATAATGAAACAATCACATCATTTATTAGTCGTTATCGAAAAACGGTAGATCAGTTAAAAGAAGCGCATCGGAAAAAACTAATTTCTAAAGGAATTATAGTAGATGAAGCAAGACTTAAAAAAAAGATAGATGAACAAACAGCAGAAGGATTTATTCAAAACGTAAATCCAGAAATACTTATTAGAATACCATCCAACACCCCTCTTGATACGTTATCAAAAGCAATTCTAGCCGTTAGACAAGCTGATAAAAAAACGCAACATTACATGCAACTCAAGAAAGGTATACAAACCCCATCTAACACCAACAAACAAAATAAATCAAAGGAACGTAAAGTTACACCTATTCGCACTAGTATTGAGTGTACCTTTTGTAAAAAATTAGGACATAAAGCACAAGATTGTTATAAACGAAAACGATCAGTAGGCTTTCAAAATAACCAAAATACGAAAACCGAATCCACTACACCATTAAATTCGAACAATGAACAAGTAGTTTGTCGATATTGCAAGAATATTGGACATACAATACAAGAATGCCGGAAAAGAGCTTACAATAATTCTCTTAAAGAAAGGACAGTGGCTAGCACATCCAGAAATATTTCGGGAAACGAGCAAAGTCTTCAGCCGGGGGGCGACGGTCCACATCCGAAAATATTTCGGGAAACGAGCAAAGTCTTCAGCTGAAGGGCGACAGTCAGAAGACCAAAACAGTACGCCCAATAGCTATTCACGAGGAGTCGCAACAATTCGATCAGGAGACTCCTCTCGAACTCCAACAATAAGATTATTTTTCCCTGGAATAATTGGTTCGTCTACGATAATGATAGATACAGGAGCAGAATTAAAT